TAAGCTTCCCAAAATGATTTATATTGGAATATAATCAATTAATTTACAACTGATTTCAAAAGATCTAAAGAAAATAAAAGAACAGTGGAATCCATTGAAAAATACTTCAGCTGAATTTAATGAATAATGACACTTAAATTTGTATATCATATTCTTTTAAAATATGTTCAGTCTGAAATTCTATAGCTAAAGTTAACATTTTCAAATATTGTATACAGCATTTCACATTCAAATTCTATATTAAATGCAACTGTAAACTTATTGCTCAAGCCTAACTTCAGTGAAAATCAACATGAGAAAATTTTCCTTTTTATTGCTTTTGCTCTTAAATTTCATGTTTTTTTTTCACTGAATATCAAGGACAGGGATTTTGAAAACAGCATAAGTCTTTTTCTTAGAACATAAACTAAGTATTTTAAACTGCTAATGTCTTTCAAACATTATACCTGAAACAATTAGAACTGCAGTAAATTAGGGTTGGACCATTAGCAATAGATGAGAACATATAATATAGATCAAGGCCAAAACATAGTGAGAGAAATATATGCAGCATTACTTCTATCAGTACACCAGTGATGACATATAACTATGAATGTGCTCCTTAATTTCACTGCTGGAGTGTGTTAATTTATTTATAACCTTAACACGCAGCATATAGCAAAAACAAAAAATCCAGTAGTGAAATAGGTATAGTATATTCAGCTTTATAAATAATATACTACCACACAGTTCATTCAAATATAACTTCAAATTATTTAGGGTAAGACTAGGTTAGTAATAGTGGAATCCCTTTTAGAAGTATCTGTATATTAGAATGGCGGTGTTTGAACCTTTCTTCCATCTGCAAAATAGATGTTTTTAAAACTGGAGTTGTTTCAGTGTTCTGATTATTCCATTTATTCAATAGTATTTGTGTGTTGTAAGTTGAACGAAAATCAATGGAGTCTTGTGAAGATATAGTTGCCTTGTAGATTGTACTGAAAGTTTATAATTTTGCGCTTTAGCCTATGAGCACAATTATGCTTTTAGGAATATAAGTTATAACTAGGAAATGCTAATTACAGCTTATATTATTTTTCCTAGCATTTACTATAAAGCCCTAATCTAATATTGAATGACTACTGTCGTGCTATATCTATTTATATATCTTCATTTTTATTGTAACAGAAAAAATGGTAAAACACTGATAAATTCCAAAGTATTTTGCGTTATCAACATGTTTTTATTACTAATTTAGAATAATGATATATTAGGATTTTTGTTCAATTTAATTTCTGGAAAAGCACTTTTCTTTGCAATGTAATATTTTACTTTAGTACATCTCATTTTTGTAATAGCTGATTTTGCTGATTTTGTTAAAGCATACTGCCAGGTACTAATATAGATTGGTTTGAACAATCCTAGCTCTTCTGTTTGAACTGAAGTAACTTCTTGCTGATATTATGACAACAGTCAAAACTGCAGAAATTCTGAAATAGAACTACTTGTCCTGTCATTTTGCCCCCAACATTTCCCCTGTAGATCAGCTGAAAGAAGATTTGAAGAACTATAATTTCAAAAGCAAAGGACAATTTTGTTAAGATTCTGATATTCACTATTTTAATGAATGAATAAGGTAATGGAAACATGAAATAATGCTAATTGGTAGCACTAATGTGATGTGATATTCTTGGGGATTTATTGTATATATCAGAATATGTACATGTATAATAAGGCTTTTATGTTGATATCCTATCACGTATGTGCATTTTCTCTAACTTCTGCTATGCAGTTTCTAACACAGTGGCCCCCAACCTTTTGGGCACTAGGTACCAGTTCCGTGGAGAGAGGTTTTTCTGTGGACCAGAGGGGATATGGTTTCAAATGCTGCTTGCATCCCACAAATGGGGCTTTGCTTTTTTGTGTAGCTTGGTTTCTGCATGCTACGGACGGGTGCCAGTCCATGGATTGGGGATTGGAGATCCCTGTTCTAACACATCACAAAAATTGGGTAGGAGTTTATAATAGATTTGTCAGTTTAATAGCAGTGATGATATCCCTCTGAAGCAGCAACTGATGATCAATCATAGTATGCATAAGGAGCAGAATTTTCCCTCCAAAGTATTACTATTCCTGTTATTGAGAATCATTGAAGTTTGCTGTGAATGAATGCAGAAACATTGATCTAAAGAATGTATAATTTATTTAACTAATATTTTTAAATTAATAAATTAAATTAAAAAGAACCAAATGCTTGCTCCTGAGAGATCAAACAGACTCGTAAACATTTAATCTTATTTATTAGATGTAATAATTTTCCAACATTTTTCTATCAAAACATAGGATTATGTCCATGTTTTCAACTCCCTGGTTTTGTATGTTTTCTGACATCTTGAAATCAAATAATTTTCAGTCCTGGCTTTTCTATAATAGCTTCAGTTAAATTATAAAGCTGACAGTTCTATTGAATGAGTGCCAAATGCTTATATTTACTGAATCCAAAATTGCTTAGAATATCACTATACATTTTGCATTAATTCCAAGTTTCAAAATTTCTGAGGGTGAAGGTTCATTCTCTGAGCTTGTGGGTTGGTTTCTGAATGTTTCGTTACCAGGCTAGCTAACATCTTCAGTGGAGTTTAAGGGACGCCAGTGTCCGTGTTCTGTTTATAAGGGCTTCATGTGTGGGTGTGTAAAGTGAGGGTTTTGTGATGGGTCAGGTGTGAGTCATCAGTGAGAGGCATGTGATGGGTTTTGTAATTGGGAGGTTACATCAGGTCAGGGTCATTGGGAGGTGAACTGCTGGTGGGGAGAAGGGGGGCTTGCGTGGGTTGGTTGAAGGTCAGTGCTGTCTCTGGTTGGCTGTGCAGTTGATTTGGATTTTGAGGGGATCGTCAGCTGGTTGTAGGACGAAGTATCTGTTGATGGAATTGCTTGTGGAGTGCCAGGTTTCGATGAACTCACAGGTGTGGTGGGCGGTAGCATGGCCAACAATGTTAGTTTTGCTCCAATCAAACTGGTGTTGTTTGGTGTCAATGTGGATAGAAATTAAAGATTTGGGATTGTGGCATTTGACTGACAGCCAGTGTTCATGGATCCTAGTTTTTAATTGACACGATGTTTCAAAATTTAGCCTCTGTGTTGATGTTTCAATAAATCTGATAACTGCAAAAAATTCTAGTGATTCAAACATACAGGTATAAAGTACAAACACTCTGATGAAACATGTGGTTTGTAAAACAACTTTCAGTAGCAACATATTTTGCTACTGAAGAATCTATCTTCACAATTAACGTGGTTTCATTCTTTATCCTGTAAGGTAAAAGCTTGGTAATTGTGATTTTCTTTTGTACAAATAATGGATAGAGAAGATGAAGTGGTTTTCTAAATTCTTAATTTAGCATTCCCATTCTATAAATAATAGTTTGAGGCATTTGGAATGGTGGTCTAAATTGAAAAATGGGCTTCATTTACAGGACTTGGAAAATTATTTCATCTCATTTACTCTCCGGTTTAGCATATAGTCTATCAGCAACAAATCTTGAATTGCTTATAATTTGGGTTGAATCAAGATTTTTCCAGGTTTTCCAGGGGAGAGAAAAAAGAGAAAAGCCTGAACAAATTCCAGCAGAAAAAGATGCACTTAATATTGGTATTCTCTTTTATTTTTATGCTTCCTTATACTAACATACAACTACCCAGCAGCCAGCCCTCAAATATTTTGCTACCTTTTTCTTTGAAGACTGGCAACAAGAATAGCAACAGGAGAAGACAAATGACTTTTTCTTTTCTGTCTTCCTCATCTATCTCTTCTTCCCATGTTTTATTAACAGCTGAAGGGTCCTAAGGAATAACTCTAATGCTCCTTGTCATGATGTTATTCCCGGGAACATTTTATATGCAAACAATTAGAATCTAAAAAAACTCATATCTGTCTGTTTTTAACTTATCCATGAAATACTTGAAATACCCTCTCTTTTTCTTTAGCATTCTAGCCTAGATATGATTGATTAGTTGATTGCTAAATTATAACTATTTCCTTTGACTATATTCACTTGATATGTGAGAATGCAAAGGTAACCTGAGGCTTCTCAAACTGGAGGATGGATTGAAGAAGATGTAGACTATAGAGATTTTACTACCTCAAGGAATATACTTGGATGTTTTCACTGACTCTCAAATAATAGAACAGATCATCTGATTTTACATTAATTCAGCATTTGTACTATATAATGTATGTATGTATGTGTGTGTACACATATTCATATAATATATGTATATGTATATACACACACATGAATTAATTAATGAATGAATTAATTCTTATTAAGGAAAAAGTCCTGATATGTTTAATATTTAGCCCACATGCTTCATAATTAGAAAATTTTCTATTTAATAATATCTGTGAATAGCTCTCCAAACATCTTTAGAGAGAAACTGTCTTAATACTGGTTCATATTTCAATAGCAACTCGTGAGTCTGAGGAGGAATGTACATGAAAATGTGAAAAATAAATTGTTCTATTTGTTGTTACAAATAAGAAAGATCTAGGATCTTTCTGATCCCCACAATTTATTTTAATCATTAACATGGGCTTTAGGTTAAATAAAATGTGCAATTCAGTCAATCAGTTCCCTACATTTGTTGCTGCTTACTTTCTAAGTAGAATAAAAGGTGGGGTGTTTTTTGAGCTGATTTTTTTCCCTGCAGTACTTTTTTCTGTACCAGATACTTTTTAATACATGTTGAGCAGAACTTGAGGAAGAGAAGTTGCTTTCCGAGGAGCCATTGTACCCAGAGTTCATTGTATCTTTCCCAATATGATTGCAGGTTTTAAAAACAATTAACCACAAATTTATGATTGTGCATGCATAATTATATGTAATCATAAGTCATATATTAAATGCAAAGCAAATCAGTACGTTAGCTTCCCTCTTCTCTGTATATCTCAGTGAAACTAAGCAATTTTTTTATTATATTCTCTTTTTGACTTTTTTTTCTCCTCTTCTCTCCACTAATAGGATGAATCATCCATGTTCTTCCAGTTTGGTCCATCGATAGAACAACAAGCTTCTGTTATGCTGAACATCATGGAAGAATATGACTGGTACATTTTCTCCATTGTCACTACCTACTTTCCTGGCTACCAAGATTTTGTCAACAAGGTCCGTAGCACTATTGAGAACAGCTTTGTTGGCTGGGAGCTGGAAGAGGTACTCTTGCTGGATATGTCTCTGGATGATGGAGATTCAAAGATCCAGAATCAACTCAAGAAACTCCAGAGTCCTGTCATCTTACTGTACTGTACTAAGGAAGAGGCCACTTATATCTTTGAGGTGGCTAACTCTGTAGGACTGACTGGGTATGATTACACATGGATTGTGCCCAGTTTGGTGGCTGGAGATACAGACACAGTTCCATCTGAATTTCCCACTGGACTCATCTCTGTGTCATACGATGAGTGGGACTATGGTCTTCGTGACAGAGTGAAAGATGGAATAGCCATAATAACCACGGCCGCCTCTGATATGCTATCTGAGCATAGCTTTATTCCTGAGCCCAAGAGTAGCTGCTACAATACACAAGACAAGAGGATCTACCAATCTAACATGTTAAATAGGTAAGGGAAATAAATATAATAATAAATTGGTTACTCACAAATTCAGATCATAATTAAAAGGCATTAAAATGGTTGCAGTTTTTGTGTAGTGTTGGAGTCTCTCTCTCCCCCCCCCCATTATATATGATTCTGAGCCAATGCAAGACTAATTGAGTATTTACTTGGCAATAAGAACATGCACATGAATATGAACTTCTTGATGCAGGGAATGATAACAATTATATATTTCTAATGTTGTAAATTATACTGTTGTTCTGGAACTATTCTCAGGTTCTCCTTCAAGATGTTAAGTATAACTGTAGAAACATTTATCAAGGAGACTCTTAAAATAAGCTACTTTTTAAAAAAAAATGGTACATGTAAATGTACAGATAAATTTTGGCAAGATATGATAAGTAGAGGAATAGAAAAACTGTTATACCAGGGAGATAAGAGCAAAATTCAGATACCATAAAATAGATAAGTCAGATTAAGAAAGAAAAAAAAATCAAGAATATTGAGGTCATTAGGAGAAAGTATTAGGAACAGGACTGGCACAGAAAAAAATTGTCATAGGTCAGTATGAAAAAGCAGCCTGTAGGTGTGGTAGATAGGATTGGGGTACGATATATTGATAGTAGTTAAGGTGCTGGCCTAGAAATAAGGAGATCATGAGTTCTACTCTTGCTTATGCATGAAAGCTGTTTGCCCGACCCACTTTACAGAATTGTTGTGGGGAAAATAGAGGGAATATAATGTATTTTCTCTGCCTTGCGTTGCTTATAATGTAGTAAAGTAAAATGTAGCAAACAAAAAAATAAATAAGATACATGTTTGGTGTACTATTTGGTGTAATTAGTGTAAACAGTACCAAGAAAGGCAGTGTTATGTCCTGGGCCGGCAGGCACAGGCTGCAGCGATTGGCCCGGGCAGACCATGTGGATGCCCGGGACAAGAAAGGCTGCTTCCAGCCTTTGCAATGATTGGTCAGCAAGGTATTGTGCAGGGGGGCTATAAAAGGGGGTCGCACCATTTTAAAATCTGTTCTGTTGGTGTTGCAATAAAGGAGATTGTTGGAACTCGTTGCTTTGTCTCAATGCCTCTTTTCCTGAAACAGAACATTGGCGATGAAGGTGGGATGCCTGCAAGGCAAACAGATTAAGAAGCCAAACTGACTCACCACAGGGGGGCTTGCAGCTTGAAGAAGTGTGGCTCCTGGAAATTGCCTTAGCCTGCCAGCACTGAGACGCTGGAGGTAAGCTCAGAAAGGGGGGCCCCTTCTCAATCCTTGCAGCAAGAGGCGTGGATGAAGTTCCTGGGCTGAAATGATGGCAAAGATAGGCTGGCTTTCAGAATTTGACACAGCTCACCCAGAATGCTGGAGCTCATATGTGGCCCGGGTGGAGAACTACCTCTGGGTGAATCAAATCTTTGAAGATGACCTCAAAGCTGCCACGCTACTGTGTGTGTGTGGGCAAGAGACCTTCGAGATTGCGGAGAATCTGGTCGCCCCAGCACCACTGGAATCAATCACCTACACAGAATTGAAGAGGATGCTTCGAGAGCATTTTGAACCCAAGCTCTCAGTGATTTCCTGGCGACACACGTTCCAGCAGAGGGATCAGAGGCCTGGTGAGTCTGCAGCAGAGTTTGTTGCGGCCTTGCAACAAGCAGCTAGGCCCTGTGAATTCAAAGACTTGGAGGAGAGACTGAATCTGTGGCCTGTGAATCCGGGAGTTGCAGCAGAAACTCTTCACGAAGGAAGGCCTCACGTTCCAAGATGCCCTGAGGGAAGTTTCAGCTGAAGAAGCAGCAGGCGGAGCTGTGGAGGCCTTGCGGCTCTCCAAGCTCCCGCAAGTTCCAGCCACTGTCCATCAAGAGGTTGCTCACGAAGAATCCGAACAGGATCCAGAATTGGAAGTGACCGGCTTCATCAGACTCCAGGGAGAAGGCCTCATGGAGGGAAGGCCCAGCCAGCATCATCCCCTCAGTGCATCGGGTGTGGAGTCCGCCATCGCCGCACAGACTGCAGTTTCCGCTCCGCCATCTGCAGGGCCTGTGGGAGGCAAGGCCACATTGCCTCCATCTGTTTGGGTCGCCAGAAGGAATGTTACCCAGAAAAATTGCCTCAGAAAGGTACCAGGGTCCCCAGCCAGAACAGGGTGGGCTTCTGCACATCACGTAGGAGCGTTTTTAGAACGAGGGTCCACAGGCCACTTAGGAAGAAGCTTCACATCAATGTGAAGTTGCAAGGGGTCCCCTTGTTGATGGAGCTGGACACTTGGTCTGCTCTATCGATCATCTCCCTAGTCACCTTTAACAAGGTCTGCAGCAGAAGCGGTCTATGGGTGAAACTCAGGCCATCAAACCTCATCCTCACAGATTTCCAAAATTCCAGAGTCAACGTGAGGGGAAAGGCCACACTCAAGATGCACTGTAGGAATTTTGAGGAGCTACTGGATGTAGTGGTGGTTGGGGGAGACCGTATGAATCTCATTGGACTTGACTGGTTTGAGGCCCTGGGAATTCAGGTGACTGGAATACACAGCATGCAAACAACAGGCCTGGCTGGGGTCTGCAAGGAGTGTTTAGTCCAGAACTTGGCTCCTACAAAGGCCCTCCTATTTCTCTGAGGCTAGACCCAGCCATAGCCCCCATTAGAATCAAGCCACGCAGGGTGCCCTTTGCCTTAAAGGGAGCTAGATAAACTGATTCAGCAGGGTATCTTAGAGCCTGTGGACAGTAGTCCATGGGAAACGCCTATAGTTACACCACTGAAGGCCAATGGTGAAGTCCGAATCTGTGCGGACTACAAGTGCACGCTTTAAAAAGCGCTGCAGCAGCATTCATACCCAGTACCAGTGGTCAGTCACATTCTAGCCTCCCTCAAGGGGGGCCAGATCTTTGCTAAGCTTGACCTGGCTCAGGCCTATCAACAATTGCCAGTTGATGAGGAAACGGCTGAGGCCCAAACTATAGTGACTCACAGGGGGGCATTCAAGGTAAGAAGATTGCAATTTGGGGTAAACGTGGCCCCTGGCATCTTCCAGAGTGTAATGGAGCGAACACTCTGAAATATCCCTGGCATTTGCCCATACTTTGACAATGTCCTCATCGCTGGGGACTCAGCTGACAATTTAGCCGAAAGGCTGAGAGCTGTTTTGCTACGTTTCTGCCAAGCGGGGGCTGAAGCTTAAGCAAGACAAGTGCAAGATCGGGATTACCTCCATGGAGTTTCTAGGATTCCGCATTGATGCTCAGGGCATCCACCCTGCAGAATCCAAGCTGCAAGCAATTCAGCAGGCCCCAAGTTCCAAATCCAAGGGTGAACTTCAGGCCTTTCTGGGACTGCTAAATTTTTACCACTCATTCCTTCCTCACAAGGCTGCAGTGGCTGAGCCTTTACACCAGCTCTTGGACAAACAGTCCCCATGGCAGTGGACACAAGCACATGAAAAGAGCTTCAAAGAGGTCAAGGCCTTGCTCTCTTCAAATGTGGTCCTCGCGCACTTCAATGAGAACTTGCCAGTGTGCATTGCCTGTGATGCATCCCCTTATGGGATTGGGGCTGTGTTAAGTCACTTGAAGTCTGATGGAACACAAGTCCCAATAGCATACTACTCGAGAACCCTATCATCAGCTGAATGCAATTATTTATTTATTTATGAGACTTATATACCGCTTAATTATGCACAGATAGATAGGGAAGCCTTAGCCATAGTGGCTGGCATAAAGAAGTTCCATGACTTTGTATATGGCTGCCACTTCACGGTCTTTACAGACCATAAGCCACTGCTGGGGTTGTTCACAATGAACAAACAAACCCCACACATAAGATCCCCCTGAATGCTGAGGTGGTCTATCTTCCTGTCTGCATATGACTATACACTGGTTCACAAGCCAGACAAAGAAATGGGTCATGCAGATGGTCTCAGCAGGTTGCCATTACAGCAGATAGAGGCAGATCCAGCACCTGCCAATCGCATCCTGTCTATTCAGGACTTGCCTGAATCTCCCCTCAGTGCTAGGGATGTGGCTGCAGAAACAGCTACCGATCACACGCTAACACGTGTGCTGACTTGGGCATTATCTGGATGGCCTGACACATGTCCAGGCTCAGAATTCCAGAGCTTCTGGCAGAGGAAGCATGAGATTTCCACCTTCAAGGGGTGTGTCCTATGGGGTAGCCGGGTAGTAATCCCAACCTCATTGAGGACTAGAGTCCTGCAGTCTCTGCATGAGGGACATCCAGGAATAGTCCGGATGAAGGCGTTAGCACGCAGCCATCTTTGATGGCCTGGGCTCGACAAAGATGTCGAGGCCCAGGTCCATGGGTGCACTGTCTGTCAACAGTCAAGGCTGGAGATGCCCCAGGCCCCAGTTCATAGGTGGGAAGAGACTCATACCCCATGGTCGAGGGTCCATATTGACTACGCTGGGCCCTTTCGGGGGCAATTCTTTTTAATTCTTGTGGACAGCCATTCCAAGTGGCTAGAGGTCATGCCTGTCTCCTCCACTACCACTGCTAGGACCATCTAGGTGCTGAGAGGGATCTTTGCTGCACATGGACTTCCCGATGTCCTTGTCTCCGACAATGGGCCCCAATTCACATTGTTTGAGTTCAAGGCATTCCTCCAGGCCAACATGATCCGGCATGCCACATCGGCACCATTCCATCCAGCTTCCAATGGCCAGGCTGAACGAATGGTGCACACAACCAAGGATGCCTTAAAGAGGATCACTCACAGGACCTGGCATCACAGGCTAGTGGACTTTCTTCTGTGCCACCGCACCACACCTTGCACAGCTACTGGAAAGAACCCAGCTGAACTCCGCTGGGGTCGCCACCTCATCACGAAACTGGACAGATTGCACCCAGACCGGGTGGCTTCACAGGTGTCACAGCCACGGGCACCTAGGAGACTACAAGTGGGAGATCCGGTCTGGGCAAGGAACTATAGACCAGGACATATCTGGGTCACAGCAGTGGTATGCAAGGTCTCTGGGATGATGGTCGTGTG